GTAACTCATGAACATTCTCCAATTGAAACGTTCTTTACTTATGCTATTGTGCAGAAACTTTAATTTGCAAATTTGTGTTATTGTTTTGTAATTTTTTTCTCATTTTGTAAAATCCTCTTTGTGATATTTTCTTTCGTGTTATATTTTTTGTTGCATAAGTTGGATAATCCGGGACATTAGTCAAGTCAGTTCTTTTGTTTTAAATCTTATCTTAAATCTAAATTACCGCCAAGCTTAACGTATCATGCATGTTTTATCGAAAAAATTGTGACACTCACCGCCGCCGTCCGGATCACCCGTTGTTTGATGAATGGCGGTCGGCCTAGCAATTTCTGAAACAAAAGAGCCACTTGAAAAAGGCTATCGATACCGAATTTTCCAATAAATTTCACTTACGAACAAGCCTGATGGTTCCATCGGTGTCGCCGAGAGAGTTTTTTGCCACGCATTTGTAGCTGCCGTAATCGCCGTGACTAAGCGACTTTATCGCCAGCTTCATCTGCACTTTGTACGAAGATTCTATTATCGTTGGTTCGTATTTTGCACCTGAACGTGAAAGAAAGAAATTTTCACTCGAAGCAATCACTTTACTTATATCTAATACTAGACAAACTAATCAATATGGAAGAAGACGTTTCAAACCGCGCCATCCTTCTATTTCGTTCAAAATGTTATGTATAGGTAGTTCAGAATCTCATAACCCTTAACCTTGACAAAACTCCGCCCATTCATTGATTGACGTCACTGTTTACAGTTTATCTCAAGCTCCAATTTATGGTTGTACGACAAGGCACATGGTTAGTGTCCCAGTTAATGTCTTCATAATGCACTTACAATATTAATACAAGAAGGTACGCTTCTCGCGCATGTGAAGGTTCATGGGGTTTTGAACTAGCTCTATGTAAACTATATTCATTGACTTAAATGTTAATATCCATTCAAAAGAACTCTACATGGATTTTTATTTAAAGATTTACAGATTTTATTGAATGCTTATTAACATTATTGAAATCTAGCTTGATGATATCTGATGAGACGCCCTTTGCGAATAAGTACGATGAATAATTCTATAAAATTTCACAAATTTGCCATTTAATTTGCTCTACTTATTTAATGAATCCATTTGAAGTTTTTATAGTAGCTAATAAAGCAAACATTTAGACAATTGTCGTGCATTATGACTGTTAGGGGCTTTTAAATTGCTGGTATTACATTAAATGGAAATTACGATAATTATTACTTCACAATTCCACTATAAGGACATATTGACTTACTTTGGGCAATTATATCTCCCGAGTCCTTTGTCCAATAGTTAATTGATTTCGGATATGCTTCTGAATGGCATTCCAGTGTAACCATTTGACCCTCGTGCGCACCAATTAACTGATTTTGAATCCATATCATTGGCGGAACTGTTAACAACGGCCGAAATTAGGTACTTTACAAATTTTGATACTACCTACTGCATACTAAAAATTTTTAGCAAATTGAATTTATTTCTGTTGAATAAAAAGCAATTTAAATAACTGACTATGGAATTGCTAATACAATAATTTATTAAACGAGACTTTATTTCTAAGACTAATATATCTTGTGAAAAACAACGCCAAGTATACATAATTCTCTAAAAAAAATTAAGATACAATTAATTATATTTACTTGGTATTCATGAACATTTAATTTCAGTTTTGATAAATTAAAAACGCTGCCAGACTTCCACTAATTAAGTTGAAAAACCCTATCAACTTGTAGAGTAAATTTGTAGACTTACAATTGACGATGACTGTTATTCTTTTGCTGACAGACGGCGGAACACCATTTGAGGCAATACACAGGTAGTGACCCATTTGCCTCCTGCTGACCTGCGTGATATTGAGAACGGGACCACTGAAGCTTGCAACTTGTAAATAAACGAACAAATTGTCAATTTCCCGTAATAAACCAGCTAGTAAACGAAATAGGATTTACTGAGCAGTTGATTGATTTGGAAATAACCATTCATAACAAATGGACGGTAGACAAATTACTGACCAATCTATTTTTCTATTATCTGCCTTAATAACATTTGAAATACTTCTAACTTTTTGTTTCCGTCGCGATCACCGTCCACGTTTCACACCCTTACAGAAGCGTGATCCAAATGCACACTTAATCTTTTCGAGTTTTCAAATTAACCGTGAGTCTAAATGTGGTGTAGGTTTGGTTGCATACATCCTAATGACGTTATGACAATTATGTTTTTGTTTGACGCGCATAGTTGGTTGTATATTAAAATATTACCTATATCTATTTGCATTACCTATATTCATTCATTCAAGATCTTACAGCTTCATTATTATTCAATTAACAATTTCATGTGTGTGGTAGGTTATTACATATAACTTTGGTACGGTGCATATCATTAATGGTTTGTTTACCTTGTTGTCCATTAGGCAAGTATATGTTTTCATTATTTTCCCTTTTCCAGGTAATGGTCGGCTCGGGAGATCCGCGGGCTGCGCATCGTAAACTTATTGATGCACCCTCCCTCACAATCACATCCGAACTGGTCGAATGGTCCAATATGTCTGGCGGAACTGAAACAAAAGACGGGGTAAGTTTGAATGCTTCAAAGTACTTAATTCAATAAACTCTAACAAATCCTACTATTTTAATTATCTACAGCTGTATGTAGATGTAGTTTAGGCAGAAATTTGAAGAGATTTCTTATTTCCCCACCTGCTAATGTCCTTAAGTTTGAACATATTTGAAACGGCATCATAAACTTTTATGAAGAAAGAAAGTGCAAATAAATCTGGGGAAAATTCTCGTAAATTTTACTAGGTATACTAGTACTAGTAGTTTATCTAGATATAGATATATGATAATGCTCTAGCGTAGATTTGTCTATGTGTTTGTCCATCACTGAACTGAAAATCGCACAAAATATGCATGAAATTAAAAACTAGGGTTTTGTAAGATTTCATCCGATATTATTAAGCAGTTTAAACGCTACCAAAAGCGTTGTAGACCAAATCGACATAATTGAGATAAATAATTGTATGACATTCTGGAATTAACTGAGAATTGAAATATTTAATCAAAAGATGGATACAATGCTTAGGCTACTTTCCCTATCTAGGATGTTTCCTTTAATCACAATAATCTTCAATTAAAAGTCGCTAATTTTGACGTGGAAGCAAACGATTGCAAAGAGGTCTATGTTCGGGTGTATGGTTGGTTGAATATACATTGTATTTATAAATAACAAATTTTAAAGATCAGTCAATAAATCTTCAGACGAAGAACAGAGTAATCCAATCAAGGTTGCGTCTGTTCGTTCCTGAGTACGGAACCCTATACGTCCATTGCCTATGTACTTAACTTTGTCTTTGGAAAGCGGAAATATTTAAATTTAAACCAGTCCCAAAAGTAATTATGTTTATTCATATGGATACTCTCCTTTTGATGTTCTACATAGAAAGCTTTTGCATTTTGAGCAGTTATAAACAACAAATACTAGTAGATTAATAATTGAAATTGATTAGTTGAATAAATGGAAAAGTTTTATTTGGTTTAGTGACAACAAATTAGTTTGGAATTCTACCTTTTGCTTGCTTACAAACCAAATAAAAATTAATTTAAATAATTCAGGGGACCGCGCGTGTATTTTGTTTGATTATGCTCTGTGAAGCTAGAAAGCCTTTGAAGCGTTGCTTTAATGTAAACATTTTGGCCGGGTTACAAATTCATTATTTAAATAATTTCGGACAAAATTAAAGTACAGTAGCAATGTTGATCAAATTATTATTTATTTGTTCATCTGTTTTAATGCTAAAGGAAGATCTACGAAAAAGCTTTGAATAAAATCAATGATAATCGCAGATACTCTGCGGGCCGGATTAACCCTTTTGTGATTTTTTTTTATATTCTCAACCCAAGCACATGTAAAAGTAGAATCTATGATTGCAAACATTGAAACTTCTGTGACGATGTCCTTAAACATCCTTACAGAACGGAAAAGTATTCTAATGTTAAATGAAAAAAATATTTGAAGTCGATATATTTTAATGTGATGTGAGTTGGGTTAGGTTAGGTTAGGTTAGGTTAGATTAGGTTAGGTGAGGTTATGTTAGGTTAGTTGGGAAATTTTTACGTTCTTCTAAAATCATTGGAGCATACCTTGTATAGGTATCTAATTTTATTAATTTGTTTCATATTTCGAAACATAAAAAGGAATAAATTTTCCCCACAAAAAAAATTAGCATTTGCCAGATTATGTTTGCCTTCCTAAAGTACCCGTATCCATGACCCGCAACTGGGTTTAATATTCGTGCTTCCAGATATTAAAGATGGTGTGAACGTATCAACAAAGAAAACTGACACTCAATAATATCATCACAGCAGGCTGACTGTTAACCTTCCGCACAGGAATACGAAATCCACGGGCGGAAGCCTTCAAAATGACAAATTAAATAAACTTAATCAGTGTAAGTAATAAAATGCAAATTTATGTAAATAGCGTTACGAACGCGATACTGTTCCCAGTCGGTGTTCCGTATATTTTGCGATGGCTTAATTCGACTTCTTTGTTCTATAAACGTAATAAGGCCCACAAAAAACACATTCGTATAGCCACCAACTTAAAGGGATCTGAACTGATAACGACGGCGTCACTAATATACAAAATTAACGCCCTCGGTTCTCCATTGTAGTTCCTTGAAGAAACACAACGGACCTTCTTGACTTATGCCTGCCTTATTTACTTTATGGCACAATCATTTATGAAACATTTTTCACACAGTTTCTGTTAATGTATTTCATATTAAAACATTGATAAATTAAGTGAAAAAGCTGTAGCGCCGACCAAGCATAGAGCCCGGGACCGCTTGTATGACAATCGACCACAGATACCCCTCGACCATTACCGTTCGTCGAGTATTGTGATGACCGCATGTCTTGCACGGAATCTCCGAATTTGAACAGCATTTATAGCTACACAACAGCATAAACGATTAAAACGACGACAAACCGTCAACTTTGTGGCATTAATTGAATAATTTTTTACAATTATTTGGAAGCAGGACAAAATGTGGCTTGGAATAAATAACTTAGGAACCATGATTAGTTCTATATATAGCAGGCATTGGATCAAAAAGCAATTTACTTCGATTTTAAATTGTTACAAAATTTAATTTTTGATTTGCATTTTGTGCATTCATGATAGCCTGCGACCTAAGGTGGAACAACAATGGCAGTCGTATCAACTGTATCATTTCAGTGATTTACATTTTATTGCGAACGGGCTTCCTTTTAATGGACCTTCACGGCAGTAATAAAAAGTGTAACGCATCCTTTGCATACTTTACAACGCCATAAAAACTACAAAAGCTCCATGTAGATAGCACGTTGGAAGCAAAAAGTTGCACTGTGCATCCAACTCTGTTTGCTCTTTCAACCCCTCCAGCAATTTTTTGAAAGCGCCATTTGTATATCGCAAACCGAGCGAAAATGTAAACGAAAATCTTCGCGTTTTGTTATTACAAAAGTTGCAACCAATCTGTTTTCTGTGTCACTGAAAATTGGTTATTTCAAAAACGCCACATGAATAGGTACCTACTCCATGGTTGCTGTAATCTTAAAGAAAACGGTACCGTTACCGTTAGGTAATAGTAAAACCTCAAGCAATGGACAAGTTCTCAAAACAGCAGCGTTTGGTAATAAAAAGGCAACAGATTCTTGTATCGATTTCAGCCTTTTGCAAAAGAATGAAAATCTGTAATAAATGGTGGAGCATACGTAATCCTAAAATGTAGCATCGTACTACAGATGGCGTTTACCACGCCATTTGTGGTATTTTCTAAAACGCACTGTTAAGCCAGCAGGTAAAAGTTGGTCTGTGTTCTGTCGGAGCTGCCTGCGACACGCTGATGAGATCCAAAAAGATCGAAATCGCGATCCGCGTCTGGCAGTTTCGACAGAATACAGACCACTTCGAATTAT